ATGAAATCGAAGTGGGCTTTGTGTAGTGGAGCGAGAGAAGGTTTGATGCGTTCCATTCAAGGCGGTGAGCAGATGATCGGCGCATCGTCGAGCTCCGGAACTCTCCTGGTAACGACGACGACCCCAGGAACGAAGGATCGATAGGCCAGGCCCGGCCAGGCAGGAGGATTGCAGTGATTATTGTTGCATTGCATGGCACCACCGGATGCTTGCACGAGGAGGCACGGTTGCATTGCAGGCTTGGACCGTGTAACTCTCTCTCTCCCTCAGCAAAATCATGCCAATCTCGTGTTCTCGAGGTGGTCCGCTCCTGATTGCGAGCCCTGGTGGATCCATCGCTCAAAGGGAAGGGCTTCGAACGAATTTCCGTATGCCCGATGAGCCAGACAGCTCGGGGGGGTCGTCTTTCGGTTTGATCCACCAAGCTCGCACTGGTCAACAACTCCCCCGCCGGATGAATCTGGATGCAAAACCTTCGCCGATCTCTGCCCCATTGGGTCCAACCTTGACAGAATGCCGCAGATTCCACGAGGCGAAAGCCCACCTGTGCGGAGGGTTCATCCAGACCCAACCCCACCCAGTTCACAGATCAATCCATCGATGACGAAACCAAATTCTAGGGGGTTTTCACGCATTAAAACCACGGTGACAATTGGGTGGGGGATGTGGAGTGGGTAAAGAAGGGTGGCAATCGCAGATGGAAAGCTTGGGAATAAAGCAAAGCGTGCGCTGTTGGCTTTTCACAGGGGCGTGTCGCTAGTGGTTGGGGAGGCAGAGAGTGAGTCTTGGCCGGTTTGGCGGCTCCCAGCCCGAGCGCCATGGCCACGAAGTTGCAATCATGGCAGAAGAGTCAACCGGGGCTATGCAAATCGAATGGCGGTGGGACTCCAACATCATCCCTCGGCCAGGAAACGAGGGGGAATGGGGTGGAGTGAGTGGGGTGGGGTGAGGTGGGTGCCGGAAAAACCCATCCCCCTTTGAATCTGTCTCCTGGGTGGTGGCAACCCAACTGTTCCGATGCAATCCCGGGCTACGGTCTCCGCTCACCAACGAATCGAGCACCGTGCCGGACACACGGCACGCGCTGCTGCAGCATCACGAACACAACGACGACGAAGACACAGATGATGAAGAAGCGGGGCGGTGATGCGGTGATGAGAAAGGAAGGAAGGGGGGAGAAGAGTGTGGCCGAGAATCGCGGATTTACGATTGCTAGATTGCTAGCGAGCTAGCTAGTTAGTTGGATTGAGCGGCATCATCACAGATTCTTCTTCCTTCTTTCTTTCTTTCCCCCGTTCTTCTTCTTCCTCTCCCATCCATTCATTCATTCATTCATTCATTCCTCCTCCTCCCCGTGGTCGCACGCCATAGCCACCACTGCTCTCTCTATCCCCTGTGCACGAAGCTGCGTCTCCACAGCCCACTCTCCTACAACTCACTATTCATTCATCCAACACTCTGTTCACCCATGGTTGTGGTGAACTTTCATCCATGTTCATCCATATTTTACTGGATTAGGGTTGTGTTTGTGAAGAAGAGGAGGGAGGGGACGAGGGAGGTTTTTTGTGTGGAATGAAATTAATCTGATGTTTGGTACGTCTGGGTAGGGGAGTAGTACAATAATGGTTATGAAAATGTATATACATATTGGATTAAAAAACATATGTATATTGTTTCTTAAAGCTTATTGGTTTACACAGAAATTTTTTCATATCATATGATTTATGATTATGATTATGGATATTGGTTAGTAAATTCAATAAAAGAGCTTACACATTTTTTTTCACATATTACATTCGTGTAAAAATTACAATATAATTATGATATTACTTAAATACAATGTTAATTTGAATGCAAAGCTTGAAACAGTTTTTCAAGAATTATGAATCATTTGTATTTGTATTTCTTTTTTTGATTTGTCTTGTTTTTCATTAGCCAAAGTCTCTCAGAAATAAGAATCAATACTATATGTACACAAATGAAGTATTCAAAAAATAATTTCAATTTATTTTAGTGAATGTAGAGTCACATGTAAAGTTGACAATTGTGGTGCTTTAATACTCTTCTACAAGTACTGTAAAATAGAGGAGGAAAATGTATTGGAGGATGGACCAATAATGTACAACTCAATTTGTAGGCAATTGATGCCACCAAAACTTGAAGGCAGAAAATACACTTAAACGATTTCTTAAAAATTAAAAAATTAAAAAAAAATGTTGTAGAATTTGTGGGTGAAAATCCCAACCCCTCTTGATTCCCTTCTCTTGTACATCATAATACTTCCCTTTCCTCTACATTGCAAATCAGAATCAGCCCTATTCCAAAAAACAGAAGAACAGACATAATTTCTATTCCTCCCGCTCCAGAAAACGACATTTGATTTGATTTATTTATTTTTCTAGTGAATGCACACATGGAGATCTAAGCACAAATCATAAAATCATTGAAGGCATTAATTATTTATATTTATTCTCTACCTGTGCCACCCCCCTATTGTAATAGTAGTAGGACTCCTACACGATCTCATTCCTGCCCCATTTGCATATATGAATAAGTATAGACAACCCCCTCCTCCTCCTCCTCGTTTGCTGCTGTTCACACTACTGACGACCAAGAGAAACAGCTAGCAAGCAAGCAAGAGCAAGGAAAGGCATAAACCTAAGTGCCACATGAGCAGGCTGAATAGAATGATGATGTGAGGCACCTCTGAATTGGATTATTTAATGGGGGGGGGGGGGGACAAGCTCAAGTAGGGTTAGGAGGAGGAGCAAGGAGCCCCACCAGTGTAGACCCACCAATGGGGAGGACCATGTATCCAAATCCCCTTTTTGGGCGGTGGTCATGGATTCCTTTAACTAACATCTATACTACTACTACAAAATGGAGGCAGGGCGGGGACGGGGATGGAGGGAGGGGAGAATGAAGGTGGGCAATCAAGCAAGGGCATGAATCGGAAGGCGGAGAAAGACTGTAATGACCACGTCATTTCAGCTTGCTTGCTTTGCGGCTTGAGCTCCCCTCCCAGCCTTTCACACCACACGGCAAAGAGGGTCCTTTGATTCATCCATCCATGCACCCATACATTCATCCATCTTCACTGTTCATCCTCTTTGGGTTTGATTGGCTTGATCATTCATCTAGAGACGTGGGGGAGTATGACATGGCATGTGCATTTGAAGGATGTGTGCCTTTTTCCTTTCTTTCTTTTTTTTTTTTTTTTTTTTTTTGTCTTATTTCGTTTTCTTTCATGGTAGTAATGAGGATGTTTGATTGGAATTGAAGTCAGAAGTGACCTTTTTGGAGCCGGTGACCTCTGCTGCCTACTATTCAAAATGTGTGTGTGTTTATATATATATATATATATATATATATGAACAAATAATCAAACAAATCAAACAAACAAACAGAGTGAGAGAGTGAGAGGGCTTTGCTTTGAGCTGCTGTTTTTTTGTGGTAAAATAACTTTTTTTAATACAAATAGTTGAGCTATTATTTATGTTGGGAGACATCTGATTGATTTTTCTACTGCAGGCATTGGGTCTCACAACAAAGCCCTCAAAACGCACAAGCTCACACACACACACACACACATTTGTGGTGCTAAACCCTCCTCCCCTCCCCTTCATATTTACCTCTGCTGGTATCTAGTAGAGTGAGAAAAAAGCTGCCCCAGTTTCCATTAGTTGAAACCCTGCTCACTCTACAGTAGGGAAATATGTTAAGAAACAGGTAAACAAGCATGAAAGTTCCTTTTGTGCACTTTAATCACCACACCTGATGACCCAATGTTGTAAAAAGTCGCACCTCCACCAAATATAAAAAAAAGGAACTCAATCTATCATTTCTCCCTTCTCTTCCTTTCAGTGTCCTTTTTTTAAAAATACAATCATGTGCTTTTCTTTTCAAAGTTGGATCAGCAAAACAATTTGTCAAAAAGCACATCCAAATTCAGACATGTGCCTTTCAAGAGCAAACCCTTGATACAGTTACGAGTAGGGAATGCATGGGGAGGGGCCACAGGGTCATCCAATAGGGGTTTGCAGCAGCACATGGGAGACTGGAATCTGAAGAAGAAAAAGAGGGCTCCCCTTCATCACTCAGCATGAGCCTGGTCCAGATTAGAAATAGATAGAAGAGGGAGGGAAGAGCTTTCTCATTCACACCCCCCCCCCCCCCTCAGAGTACAACTCCCCATCATATCATATTCATATATATATATATATATATGGCAGCAATCAGCCATCCCCTCTCCCTCATATTTGTTGTGTTCTTCCCCCTCCTTTGAACCCAGTTCTACATCACTAGGGAGTTCTACATCACTAGGGAGGTGGTTTTGTCACTGGTCCATAGTGCTATGGAAGGCAAGCAATGGGGCTGTTGCAGCTGATCCCACTGCTGCACCTCCTCCCATCCATTACAAACACTATGGACCAGTGACAAAACCACCTCCAGGTGCTCTAAAGAAATGGACTAAGAGGAGTGACAACAACAACAACAACAGCACATGAGCCAGATGTTACAAATGCATTTGTAAGTGATCAAGCAGAAAAGTAGAGCTCTGCCCTGGAGCCTGGGTGTCCAAGGTTTGGATGGTTTGTGGTTGTGTTTTTGGTGGTGGTAGAAGCTACAAACTAGATGCAACAATATTGTTACTCTCTTGGAGAAGCAGCAGCATTGAGGTTTTGGATCATACTGTTCATGTAAAAAAATTGTGCATGGGGTTGCTGCACTTCATGACAATGAACATTGCAGATGAGGGATATTCCAACGGTGGAAGAGCTTCACTGCGAAACCCACTTGGAGGCAATCAAGAATTAAGTCGAAAAATGAAGTAAAAGCTTAATACAGATGAATATTGCCGGCGTAAAACTTTTGACAATTCGATTTCCATTTCTTCTTTCAGATTGCTTCATTTCAAATCTTGCAAACAATTAGATAATTTCACATGCAATCTCAAGAACACTTGAAGCTTTCATTCGCTGTTTGAGGAACCCAAAAAATGCAAAAAAAAATTGCTAACTTAATTTAGCACCTGTTTTTTTGGAATTAATCAGTGCCTTATTCATCCTCCAGGCTTATAGTAATCTGAGGCCTGGGGCAATAACTCAAGCGATGAAAACCGCTACCCACAGGACCGTAAGGACTCCATCCCGAAGTGAACCGAATACTATTTACAATCTGAATGACTATTCACTTGCAACCTAACCAATCAACTGCGAACTATGTGTTAGCCTGCCTAGTTCTGACGCAGTTCAACAAGCTTAAAATACAAGTTGGAACTTCAACGTCATGGGATTTGAGGTTGGATCTGAAAAGATGCCAAGGCAAACTAGAGTAGCTGTGCAAGGGGTATCTAAAAGGAATTGAACAAGTCTAGTTCTCAATGCTGTACATTGTACGAGTGTATTGAGTTACATGAAGTCTACACACAGCAACCAGTCCATTCAACCAGCGTCGATCACACCTGAACAAGTCCTGCTTATATTCTTGACAGATCGCTGCATGGGTGCCGATCCTCATCTGCAGCTGCCACACGTGAGTGACGCGTCGTCGATGACCTCTTCAGTTTATCATGCGCCAAAATTCTCCTGTCAATCTGCACACATCACAGTCAGAAGTAAGCAAAATATTTCTTTATCTTCAACAGACATGCTTGTGCACAGATTCGCGGAGACTCCAATTGCTACATCCTGGCAGCCTCAGAGGTCCTCAAGATAGAACGAAGAAGTAAAACTTGAACTGGAGCGACATAGGGGACAGTGGTTCATACCAGGATTTAATCAAATGGACTCGAAAATGGAGCCTTGTAATGGTCTGTGCACGCTCAATCTGCAATGCTGACCCGGCATCATATCATACAACCCTCCCGACAATGAGCTTGTAAGCGAGGCAAAGGGGTGCTCAGGCAGAGGATCGGAACCAATGTCCATATCGATTCCCAACATGGAAGACATGGTGGTGTCCATCATTGGCGGCACATGGGAAGTGCTGGTTTCGGGAACCCACGCTGAGTCAAGGCCGTGGTGCGAGAGCATGGGAGATGGATCGTTGAAGCTTGGGTGGCTGATCATGTCGGCACCGAAGAAAGGTGCGAGGATCTCGCTCAAAGCATACGGTGTCTCGCGCGGTTGAAAGGTGCAGTTACTAACGCTGCCGTCAGTTGGGCTCGGAAAGTCGCCTGCGTCGATGTTACTAACCGTGTTTCCGCTGTCGATACTGAAGGTGTTGCAGCTGTCCAAGCTATACGTTGTAGAGTCCTCGTTGTTGCTTCGCACAAGAGGGTCGGCGCCGGAACCATAAAAACGCCGCATCTCATGGGCATTCAGCTGGTCCATGAAGCTCCCTGCATCTTGATGTATAGAGTTACCAGCCACCGCTGTACTCGGATTTGCAACAACAGAGTCATTTGGTTGCTTGGATTGGGATCGTCGACCAGATTTCTTGCGCGACTTCCCTGTCAGCTTCTGCACCGTGGACTTGAAGTTGGCCACGTCTGTTTGGATCACTTTGGGAGCAAAAATGTGGATCACTCGAATATGCGGTGGTTGCGGGGCAGGGTGCCAGTGTCTTCCCGTTGGAGCAGAAGATCCCCCACAATAGGCAGGTTTCCCAATGCCATGCGAGTTCTTGTTCAAGCCCATCGTCGACTGTCGGGGCGTGCAGTTGTAATCATCGACAGTCGTGCGGTTTGCCATCATTTCCAATCGGTGAAACCGCTGGAGGAGAACAATTTGAGCCTCTGTGATCAATGAAACGACCAATCGCAAGAGAACTTACTGTGTTGGATACTGATCATGCCTTCTGGAGGATTGTTTGGTAAATGGACAGATATTGTGACTAGTAGTTTGGAGGGTCGACTGACATCTTTGGCTATAGAATTGGCAGTTTTAGCATTGCAACAACTTTGAGGGTACGGAATACGAGCTTGGATAGTTCCGTTCTGGACAAGGACCTGTGCGTGGGATCTCTATCAGGGAGATTTTACATAAGAAGTTCGAAGGTAGGAGTAGTTCAAGTACACGGCAAGACTGAAAAAACTTCCACTTCGAGTGTGGCGTCTACCTAGACCTCATGGAGACGGATTGTGGGAGATCTTTGAATCATTGGTTCTCTACTGCTAACAAAATCTCCTCAGCTGGGACAATTCTCGTATCTCCGATTTCCAAAGCGGCTACACGAGTTACCTTTCCACCTTCAAGTGAGGTTTCCAGATTGCATATCACGGCAGTTGCTCTACGTTCGAGCACGGACCAAGCGTCGTTTCTAGAAGGACGCCGTGTGCAACACGTTCACTGAAGATGACCAGGGAGTCCTGCAAGGGTTTACTAGATTACAGACGAGTTATGGCAAACAAGGAAGAACACGAAAGTCCCCAATAGACAGACCTGGTAGAGGGTTTCGCTGCAGTGATGCAAACCGGCCACAACTGTAAGCACTCTCCCAGGGTTCACCTTGTCAGACACTAGATTGCACAAGTTGTAACGACCACTTCGCTACACAATGAGCGACAACAATAGCGAGGAAACGAAATGGTACGTTACAGACCACAAATACTACAACACAACATTCACAGATGCTGTTGACCTTGAGCAAGTGCAGCTAGCGGTTGTCAGGACAGTCTGCAGCGGAAAGAAGGCTCTGAATCCTCACACGAGACGATTGCTAAACGATGACATGAACTGTTTTCCATAGCACTTCAACCATTTTGAAGTGTTTGCGAACCCCATGGTCCCACCTCACCCTCTTGGCTTCCAGCGCCGCACGCAGCATCGACGCACCACCGGCAGCTTCCTCATCTCATGGGACCCAGTTGTCAATTTTCTCTACGTCCGAAAAATTTCTTCCGAAACATTGTCGGGAACCCTTCCGTCGTCCAACTTCTTTACAGGAGGTCGAAAATCGTCGCAGCACTACCCGCATGACTTTGTTCCATCATTCCCTGTGGGTCCAACGTGGTGGCCAAACAATACCTTGAGATCGTACGCAGATGAAACGCAGAGTGTAGTCATTGGAAATCTCCTGAAGCCTTCGTTTTTTTTTCTATTTTATGAAATTCAGATCTTAAATTTGGTCTTCTAAACCCCAAACTAATCTGAGGAGAACATTTTTACCATTTAATATTGTCCAGTATGAGCACAAGAGCTCGTCTATCCTCCATTGCAAAAGTGCACTAGATCGCTTACAGGATGTGAACCTTGCTTTTTCAACGGCGAAAATGACAAACCTATAAAAAATTCAAAAAAATTCAAAATTAGAAAACTATAACTAGGACTAAAACTTACAATAACACAATAAACTTTAAAGTTGGGAATTCTGCGACCGCCATAAGCTGAAGATCCGGAGTAGCATCAGAACCTACGCTGCCCCAGTCCCCAACTTTCGACATCGGGGATTGAAACTTGGACAGACATCACTCATCTCTCTGAAAACTTCTTTTTTTTCCTTCAGAAAAAGATGACCCTAATAAACCAGTTATTTGATTCAGCAACATGGGACAAGGAAAGAGAATCTACCCCAGATGAGTTGTTCTTCATGGCCGTTGGAAACTCCAGCTGATCTTCTCACAAATCTTTCGCCTCAGTCTCGTCGTGCTTGAAATCACCTACCTCTGCTTTGACGTCCTTCAAAATTGGGTACCAGAAAATTAGGGAAATTGTCGGTCACCTTTGACTTCTTCATAGTAGGCGTCAATAGTATTTTTCTCCAAAATTTTGGCTGGCTATGACTTGGAAACGTTTTCGAAACCCAAGTGTGTTCAAAATGTTTTTTGTCCGCATCTTAAACTCCTAACGCTTTTCTAATAAGGTTGTGAGCTACGTTTTCGTGGTCACCTGCTCTTTTGGTATCACTCTACTTTTTTTACTTTGCTTCTGGGTGCAACCTCCCTCATTCCTGGCTTGTCTTCCATGCACAGCATCAATAACCAACATTTTGCAGGAATTTCATCAAAACTTTAACTTCGTCTAGAAAATCAGCCAACTAAAACGATGCAGGTTGACAGAGACTGATGGCTGAGGAGTGATAAGAGCAATGTAAATTGCAAGCATTCGCCTATGAAATATCTTTTTATGTAATTTACCACCAGCTTAAATCGCCATGGATGAATATATTGTATAACTTTTGAGCAATTTAATTTAATCGTGTCTTGTGGACCTTTTGAGAGGATAACTGATATCAATTATACTTTGCTAGCTTACATATTACTGGTAGTGTAAACTGAGCTTTAGAATTTTTAATGTATTTTTAGATTACTTGATGCACAAAATCTTTCGCTTCAAAAAATTACAGACCTCTGATGCTATTGAAATTGCACAGAATAAGCGTTACGCTACTATGTACACAGGTTTAAGAGAACACACGGCAGTTACTAATACAACTCCACATGCCGAGCAGATGCTTATATATCTCAAGTAAAATACAGAGATCAATATTAATAGACAGCCACACAAGGTAATTAAGAAATTTCAACAAGAATGTGTATCCCCTTAATAACTGACTCTAGTCCCGATTTGGAATCCAGGTTTCAACTTTTCAGTCTTTCGGAACCAATGCCACCCACATTGAATACAAAAGCGACAAGTATGAAGCACAAGAGATGAGATTTTCCAGGTATAAATTTCCTAGGATCCAGTTAATAATAACTAGTTTTAGATTTGCACCTTTTACTAGTGATAGAATGTTTCTCATTTCCTCTCAGCCTGGATGTTTCAATACTTAAACAAGACCTCAAGTTTTAATACTGAATCATTTGTTCGACGAGTAAAACATTGGTTCCGTCGGCAATCTGATGAGGAATGAAGCTCATCAGGACAGACAATTCAATACCCTCTGTGATAGACCCGTGATTGTATTACCAACTTGTTGGAGTGAGCCAGTGATCAGTCGGTGCACATGTTAGAGGCCAGACATGTTACTTCGTTTCCTTCGCGAGACTTTATTTACTTTATTTATTTTCATGAGAAGTTGGATGACTAGCTCTCATGGCTAAACTTCTAGTCACCATTCTTGTTTGAGTACCTAAATGCTTCAATAGCAACCCTACAGAACTCGAACACTGCATCATCACCCGAAAGACGGCCAAAATACCTTGAAAAACTCACGAGTTCAGATCTGCATTCTGAGGAAAAAGGACTGGCCAAAAGTTATGCAGTAATTCATAAGACCCACAACATGCACATTTCTAATGAGCTAACAACTCAGGATCAATAAGAGCTAAACAAACTTCATGCTCAAGCCCCAGTTCACCACATGAGCCTGCGCACCGGTCAATGAATCGAATATGACACAAATGTGGGCAAGGACATGATCGAAACGCTTTTGGGAAGAGGGCATCAGGTTGCACAGTATCAAGCAAACTTGGGAACTGAAAAGCATTGGAAAAGGTGGGAATAATGTGCCAGAAAATGCATCCAACTCTGGCTTCGGTCTTTCCACATTCCATCTTCTTAACCTTCCCTTGGTCTATCAGAGTTTTCCCTGCTGAATCTTGTACCCCGTTTTCCGCCATTTGTGAGCCACCTTAAAGCAATATACTCACTTTACTTATCTGTTATTGAGTTTCAACCCACAACTGAAGGGTATCGTCATGTGTGCTTGCCTCCGTTCCTTAACAAAACCTTCATAAACAGAATAGTTCATAACTGTATGTTGAACTTACTGAGAATCCATTTGAGGTGGACTTTGCAATACTCTTTGCTTACCTCATCTTTGGGGTCCTCAATCATGTGTGTGTGTGTATGTATATGTATATATATATATATATATATACACATATAGATGTAAGAAAATAAAAATAAAAATAGAGTCAAGCAAAACAATACACTAGTACACAAGAAGCAACACTATACCTCTCTTGCTCACATAGTTTTGTTACTAAATACTCATGAGTTCCACCACTAATCATTCTTTAAAAGCTATGATATCTCACAATCTTTTTGGCTCTTTCTATTTCAATAGTGTGCTATGTATGACTATGTATTCTTTTCCTTGTCTTTACATTTTTCTACCCTAATTTTTATCACAATTTTACGTAGGTCTCACCTTTAAAATTCATTGTGAAAGGGATTTTTGTTTTGTTTTGTTTGTTTGTTTGTTTGTTTTTTTTTTTAAATATTTTATTTATCATAATTATAATTAAAGTTGGATTAAAATATATATATATATATATATATATATACATATTTTTAATAGTAGCATTTTTCTTTTATGTGTGCCAAAAATAAAATCTTTCTTAAAAATTTTTATTAGTTTTTTTAAAGAATATTATTCTCAAATAAATTAGATATTTTCTAATCTTAATTTTTTCTATAGCATAACCAAGACTATTGCAAATCAAGTAGAAAGTCATAAGTCTAGTACAACTAAAACCTTATTTATAGATGTAAGAGCTTTTATACATATTAAAAAAGAATGACCACTTTTTGTTATTTATGTCACACTCATTTCTAATGATGGAAAGACTTCAAGCACCATTCCAATTTAATATAAGAATCATCAAGATGTCTTTTGGAAGAAAAATGTAGATTTTTTTTAAAGCATTGTTCTTACGATTATTCAATTAATCTTCGAGAAAGAACTCAATTGTCATTTTGACTAATCTATAGCTTATTCTAAAATAAATAGGATTTAATTAAAAAATACATTAATAAGAACTTGATCAAGAATTTCATATGCCATTAAAAATCTCTAGGTGTTAAGGACAAGAACTCGATAAAAAAGAAATTCAGACAAGTGAGCCTTCACTCAAAGAAAGGTAATAAAATACAAATAAACAAGTATGTATATTGAAAGAGAAACTGGAATGGCTATTGCCAAAAGACAAAAAAACTAGAGACCCTTAAAACAAGACTAGAAGCAAGAAAGGAGTTGACAAGAGTGAAGAGGGCTTCACTCTTGTCTCTATATATACTATCCAACTAGAGGCTACGTGGTGACATTCTATAGAACCTCCAATATGTGTTGACTTTGTAGAACACATGCCTTGACTTACAAGACAAGTTTTTCTACGTGTGGGCCACATAGTTAGCTTAATCTTCAAGCTAACAACATGTGTGGCACATGGCCAACTTTTTGACCACGTTTCTAATCCAAAAACTCAATTAAAGACACTTATGAAGTCAAAGCAGCATCTATAAAGCTTCTAAGAAGCTTTCATATTAAATACTATAGAATTAACTTGCTTTTACTTACTTTTACTTACTTCCACCTATTTGTATATGTAATTACTAGCTTACATGAGTATGTCCGTGACATTACCCTTCCTTCTAGGGACGAATTCCATAAGGAGCGGTCATCATATGTTGAAGAAATCTATGATGCGTCGAATTGTATTCGCCACATACTCTCATCTTTTTTCTCTTCGAAGATGATTGATAGGGCCTCTCAACCATCGGTAGTGTCCCATACTAGGGTAGGAAGACCATCCAGTTATTTGATCATTGTTGAGGCCTTCATAACTTCCTTCGAATAGAACATTTGGAACACCATCAGGAGTTGTTCCTACCTCTAGCAAAATAACCAAACATTGGGAGTCCCTTCCCAAATCATGATATCAAACGCGTTGTATCTCGCCATCTATCCGAGGAAGAACTTGTCGTTCTTGAAGATCTTCATCTCGATTGCGTCGTCTTGAAGGTTGTGACAATTGTAATGTCTCGTTCGATAGG